TATGTTGTGTCAGTGAAAAGAGCGGCGAAACTCTTACAATCTCCATCTCAAAACGAAGCAAAGCCGGAAATACAGGTACGTCCACGTGACTCAATTAGGTTTCCGCCAATAGATATTCCGGTATTCAATGGTGATATTAAGACATGGCCCTTCTTCTTCAGTAGTTTTCAAAACAATATACACAATAACCCCTCGTTATCGGACGCTGAAAAATTATATTATTTTAATTAGTAAACTTAGTGGCAGGGCACAGTCAATTTGCTCGGGTTTTACACCTACAGCAAACAATTACTTGTTAATATTTGAAACGCTTAAAACTAAATATGAAGAAAGGAGAATGTTAGCTTCCGAATATTTGAACCAGATATTCGATCATAAACCTATATCATCCGCGAACATCAACGGCTTAGAGCAGTTTTTAGATAAATTTGTGGCATCGGCGGCTGCACTTAAGAATTTGATATTTAATGACCTTATGGACGCGGTGTTTCTCCATATTTCACTAAAGAAATTAGACCCCGACACCGTGCTTGCGTTTGAAATGGAGCATCGTAGCTCGGAGATGCCTTCCTTTCATTCATTAGCATCGTTTGTGCGAGATCAAATAAACGTGATGCAGCGCTCCCCGAACGTTAAACAGGAGATTAAAAAGTGCGTCGACCGTAGACAGACTCAACCATTTAAAATAGCAGGGTCGTTAACATACGTAACCGCTGCGTCGGCACCACTTCAGCATGCCTGTATCATATGTAAAGATAAACACGGTAATTTATACAATTGTGCGACTTTTCGTAAATATTCACCAAGCGAACGTTATAAATTAGTAAAGACAAACAACCTATATCTGAACTGCATAAGCGATAAGCATTTAGTTGCAAAATGCAATTCTAGTTCCGTATGTAGCAAGTGCGCCAGGAAACATCACACGCTATTACATTTTGAAAATAGCAACATATCGGCGCCAAGTAAAGCGGACAAGGAATTCACCCCTACTAAAGTCAACGATTCTAGCGGTCGACCTGGTGACGTCGCTCTGTGATCATTGGCAAATATGGGAGCACAACCTCCTTCAACCGTGTTACTGGGTACGGCACGTATTTTGGTTAGGGATTCGCGTGCAAACGAACAAAGCGTCCGTGCACTGCTGGACAGCGGAGCCCAAAATAGCTTTATAACGCGACAATGTTGTCAGCGCTTAGGCTTAGTAATAAATAGGTCACTTTCATGTCCCGTAGTCAAAGGCATCGGAGGTACTAGTAAAGTTACCCCGGGATATACAAATTTAAATTTTTATTCTCGGATACATCGTAATGTTAACTTTGATATAAATGCACTAGTAGTAGATAGGGTCACTGAACGGTTGCCAACCGTTTCGGTTGACACCTCGGAAATGATTGAATTTAAAAATTTGACTCTAGCAGACGACACTTACGCCGTTTCTGGAAACATAGACATGCTCATCTGAGCATCGCTTTTCCCTCATCTTTTGCTAAACAATAAGGGCAGGGGCAACTCCTCGCATACCGCGCCTTACGCACTGGAAACCGTATTGGGCTATGTCATCGTTGGCTCCGCCCCCATCATGGATAGTATTTCGGCAACCTCTTATTGTGGTATGGCTGTCGAACCGCTCGAGTCGTTAGTCCGCAAATTTTGGGAGATAGAGGAGGTGAACGTCCCACCCATAGCTAGCTCAGATGACAGATTATGCGAGGAAATTTACGTCCGCACGACCGTTCGTAATCGCGACGGTAGATATAGTGTAGCGCTACCCTTTAAAGGAGATGTTTTATCTCTCGGCGATTCGCGTCAAATGGCGGAAAAACGTTTCTACAGCTTGGAGCGTAGGATGCTCGCTTCACCCCAGTTAAAGGAAGCTTATGACGGCGTCATTAACGAATATATAAGGGAAGGTTACATATCACTTGTGGCTTCGAAATTAGATAACTACGAAGACACACCGTCGTATTTCATACCACACCACGGGGTCGTTAGGGAGGACAAACTTACATCTAAGTTACGTGTAGTGCTCGACGCTAGTGCTAAAACTAGCACTCACCTGTCGCTTAACGATATCCTCTATAGTGGGCAAAATTTACAGGGCAGTTTATTTAATATAATAGCCAATTTTCGTTTGTTTAGTATATAGCACTATCCGCCGATATTCGCCAAATGTTTCTTTGCATAGGGGTCCGTGAATGCGACCGTAGATTCCAACGCATTTTATATCGTTTCAACCCAAAGGAACCTCTAATGGTGTTTGAATTTAACCGCGTTTGTTTTGGTTTAAAGTCGAGCCCATTTCATGCGTTACGCACGGTGAGACAGCTCGCTCACGATGAAGGTCCCTCTTACCCTAAAGCTAAGAGGGCAATTGAGAGCGGTTTATATATGGATGATTTTGTTTACTCGGTCGATAGCGTGGAGGAGGCCACCCTAACCACCGCCGAGGTTATAAAGCTCATGAAATCGGGTCAATTCGATCTTGTCAAGTGGACTAGTAATTCGCGTCCGGTTTTAGACACAATCCCACTATCACACCGTCTTTCGGCGATAAAGGAATTCGACGATTCTGATACACACAAGGTGCTCGGTCTGTGTTGGTCACCAGAGTCCGACGTGTTTAGCCTTAAAGTAAATCCGCCCGTAGAGAAATGCACAAAGCGCACAATACTGTCATGCGTTGCTAGATTATGGGACGTCATGGGTTTCGTAGCTCCGGTGGTATTATACGCTAAGCTTTTGATTAAACAACTTTGGTTATTTGAATGCGACTGGGATGACTCGCCGCCTGACAGCATTGTTCGGTTGTGGCAGCGTTTTAGAGAGGAACTTCCTTTACTAAGAGAAATTAAAATACCGCGTAAAGACCATATCATGAATTTATTAGTCGATTACCATCATAAATTGAATTCGCACGCTGGCCCCGACTTGCTGATATCGATCTTGCGTCAGAATTATTGGATTCTTTCTGCACGTAATTTAATCCGCAATCGGGTGCACAGATGTATAGCTTGCTTTCGGACACGCCCCAAGCCGTCATTTCCGGAAATAATAATAATAACTCTTTTATTTCAGACATAGATCAATATAAGTTGTTAGTAATTTTGCACCTTAAACACTAATGTTAGTTTCTTAAATATGAGTAGTCACTTTTCAACAAATGGTTCCATGAAATGGCGGAACTTGGATCTTGTCGAGTAATACAATCAGTAAAGCCCTTTACGCACACCGGGTCTGATTTCGCTGGTCCGTTTAAGGTCACGCTCACTCGCGGGCGTGGTATAAGATCTACAAAAGCTTACGTCTGCATTTTCGTATGTCTAACTACTCGAGCGGTGCATATAGAACTCGTTGGTGATCTAAGCACAGCAGGTTTTATGGGTGCATTTAAAAGATTTCTTTCCCGCCGTGGCCCTGTAACTAAATTATATTCGGATAACGGTACGAACTACGTCGGTGCAAAACGTATTTTATCAGAACTACATGAGCTCTTAGCTAGCAAGTATTATAATTCGGAGTTCGCTCATATTCTAGCCGAGAACCGCAGAGTGTTCTCTGAACGTCCCAGCCGCGAGTCATTTTGGGGGCAATTGGGAGACTAATATTAAAAGTCTAAAGAGTCACTTATACCGAGTAATAGGAGATCAAATTTTGTCCTTCGAAGAGCTAAGTACGGTGCTCGCTCAAATTGAATGCGTAATGAATAGCCGCCCACTTTGTCGTACGTTGTCTAGTGACCCCTCGGAACCGCTGGCTCTAACTCCAGCACATTTTTTGAATTTAACGCCTTTAAAGTATTTGCCCGCCGTAGATATGGATGAGAACAGACTTAGCATTTCCGCACGCCACAAATTATTAGACCGGTTAGTGCAATCTTTTTGGAAACGATGGAGGATGGAATACTTGCATACTTTGCAGTCTCGGCAAAAATGGAACACAGCAACTGAGCCTTTAGCTGTAGGAACTGTAGTTGTGCTCACCAAAGAGAATACGCCGCCTCTCCATTGGCCGTTAGGAATTGTCGAAGAGGTCTTTCCCGGTTCCGACGGAGTAATTAGGGTAGCTCGCGTTAAGACCACGGTTGGGTCTTACCTGCGTCCTGTTGTCCGTTTGTGCCCCTTGCCTCTTCCATAATTTAAATTAGCTTTCTAGATTAGGAATTGTAGTTGAATTTAGGTAATCTCAGCGTTAGTTAGTTATTTTGTTAGTTTGATCTTAGCTTTAGTTGTTTTAGTTAATTTTGAAGGAAATCCTTCAAGGGCGGGGGGAGATGGTTGCGCGGAAAACCATTCGTATTTATTTATTGACGGTAGGGCTTGCCAAATCGTTTATCCCTTTACAAACGATATCATTCATACCCTCCTATCGACACATCGGGGTGGTGGGGTGGGAGGGGAAAGAAGATGATTCTAGAATATCACGTAATCATCGCAACCGAAGGAATAAAAGGCACGCGCGACCGACGCGCGCTCTCTTCCCGCCGCGCTCGTCGTTGGAACCACACCGCCTAGGATAATAGTGTCCTAAAGAGCTCTCGCCTACGCGCACCGCTAGTATAACCGTTTAGCCTGAAGCAGTCGAGCTCCAGGAAACCCGCCTCACCTCGTGTGAGATATAGTCGCGCACCGCCTCTCTCCAGAGAGTCTACCCAGAGTATCTGCCAGAAGTCGCAGCTATATAGTGCCCAAGCAGCATAGAAGAAACACCCCGGTGAGTGAACATTCCTAATAATAGTTACTGCTTGATATAATTGTGTCCGCTCCAATTTATTTTCTCCTAATCAAGCAGGATTCCTTTCATAGATTTGGCAAATAATAGTTCGTTTTGGGGAAGAGCGAGTGTATTGTACCGCGTGCTATAGTCGTCATTTATGTAAGCGTAGAAGCATTTCGCAGATACAGTCCACTTTGGTTAATATCTCGCGTAATAGGTTTAAGGTTCGACCGGGGAATTAGACTTCGGTAACCTTAGGCTCGTCGCTCCACCAGCTTGTTAAAATGAAAAATGACAGTGGAAAATGGAATCATCGTAGATCAGGAATATTGGATATAGCAACATCTTATTACAAGAGACTATACGAAAGTAACACAACAGAAGACGAAATTGATTTGGTGGATACCTCAAACATTCCTAACATTCTTCAAGCTGAAGTCGAGAAAGCCATAGATACTCAAAAGGTAGATAAAACACCAGGTCCTGACGGTATAAGCAACGAAATCTTAAGACAAGGAAAGGAAGTGTTAGCACCTGTCCTTACAAATATATTTAACAATATTATAAACACTGAAATAATTCCCCAGCAATGGACAGAATCTAACATTATCCTGGTGTATAAGAAGGGAGATAAACATGAAATCGGAAACTATCGCCCCGTCAGTATTATGTCAAACATCTACAAAATCTTCGCTAAGATGATTTTAAAACGTATTGAAAGAACGCGAGACGAACAACAACCCATTGAGCAGGTGGGATTTCGTAAGGACTACTCGGTGATCGACCACATCCATGTAGTTCGTCAAGTTATTGAGAAATACAACGAATACCAGCTTACATATTACATTGCTTTTATCGACTACAGCAAAGCATTTGACTCTCTTCTACATAAAAACATATGGGAAGCATTAGTGGAACAAGGGATTGAACTCAAATACATTCGATTAATAAAAAACGTGTACAGTCATAGTACAGCCAGAATCCAGTTAGATAAGGCGACCCCCTTTCCCCAAAATTGTTCTCTGTACTCATCAATTTTCAGAAAACTTAATTGGGAAAATCTTGGGATCAATATAGACGGCACATCACTGACGCATTTAAGATTCGCTGATGACATAGTGCTATTCGCCAAAACACCTGAAGCCATCAATAAAATGATAGAAGACCTATCGATAGAAAGTGAGAGAGTAGGATTAAAACTCAATCCAGAGAAGACTAGAGTGATGACAAATGGAGAGAAATACCGAAATCAACTACACTGATGAATACATCTATCTGAGACAACTGATAACCCAAAAAGAACCTATGCGCGAGGAAGTGAAGAGAAGAATTACGAACAGCTGGAGACGATACTGGAGCTTGAGAGAGGCTATGAAAGACAAACAACTTCATATAAACATCAAAAGCAAACTATTTAACACCTGCGTACTACCCGTCCTTATGTATGGCTGCCAATCATGGACTTTAACTCGTGAAATGACAAACAGGCTAGCAACTTGCCAATATGCTATGGAGAGGAGCATGCTGAATGTCAAAAGATCAGACAGACTGAAAAACTGTGTCATCAGAAATAAAACAAGAACCATAGATGTAGTACGGAAAATTAAAAGACTCAAATGGAGGTGGGCAGGGCACACAATAAGAGATCATGACAAATGGAGTAAGAAGGAAAAAGGAAAAGAGGCAGACCGCAGTAAAGATGGGACGATATATAAGAGAAGTGGCAGGAGTGATGTGGAACAGAGTGGCTCAAGAAAGATCAGAATGGAAGAGGTTGGAGGAGGCCTTTGCCGATTGGCAAACAAATCTACAAAAGATAAAAAAGCAGCATATATTAGATTAAGTTTTATGTTTGCTTTAGAATATTGTTATGAGGTTAAGTTGATCTGAATAAAGGCTATTATTATTATTTTTATCACATATATTATCACAAAACTATAATATTATAAATATAAATACAATCTATATAAATAATATTATTATTTCGGTTATTATCCACCGCGGCGAGGAATTCTAAGCCATCGGTGGTTAGGCATACAAAGATAGGAACCTTCTTACTATTCGAACCGTATTTAATAAGGCCGATTTTTGAATTAATGCCTTCAGCCATTTGCCCAAACCTAACTTGGACAGATAATCGTCCATATTTTTACCAATAAGCCCATTGACTGATACAACTATTGGTACAATAATAGTAGAATCAACGTCCCACATAGCGACAATCTCATGAGCCAGGTCGATATATTTTATTTTTTATCATTCTCTGATTTTACGAGATTCTCGTCATGAGGAACACTGATATCCACTATTATTGCCTAGCGTGTAGTTCGTTCTATACCACAATGTCAGGTTTATTTGCCACTATAAACCTGTCTGTGATAATTGACCGATCCCAGTACAGTGTGACACTTCTATTTTCAAGGACTGGCTTTGGTTCATACTTATAATATGGAACGTCCTGTTGAGTAAAGCCAAATTTAATGGCAAGCTGTTGGTGTATTATTCTAGCTACTTGGTTATGTCTGTGCAAATACTCACGATTTGATAGTTGTGAACAACCGGAAATAACACGTCTGAGGGACTCTCCAGGGTGGTGACATGTGCGACATACGTCAACTGTGCAGTCCCTCAGAATGTATCTTCGGTAGTTGTTCGTTTTAATTACTTCATCTTGTATTACACAGATAAAACCTTCAGTTTCTGCAAAAAGGTCACCAAATTGTAACCAATGTACTGATGCAACCATGTCTACACAAGGATTAGTCAATGCTTTAAAAATCGACCATGCAGTTGTTTGTCATTCCCAACCTTTTTGCGTTCATCTGTAGTCATAGTATGAGGCCTCTGCCAGTCCTTTGCCGACATATTAAGCGGGGTTAATGATTATTATTATTATTATAATCTCTCTTCATAATTAATTTAGTTAAATAATGGAAATTCAGAATATGTCTGCTCAGATTTGAATATTGATTTCTTTTACATTCATTTTATTATAATATAATAATATGCATGACGGTATACAAAATACATAATATTAAATAAACATTTTGAAGCAATGGAAATGTAATAATAATTTCTCGATAAGAATAAAAATACAAGCTTGTAGTCAAATTGAAATGGTGTTTTCGCGCAGACCGTTTTCCTTATGTTCCAAAATTTATTGTCTCAAACAGATGTTGCTTACTTGTCTCCCTCGTACGTCCTTTATGTAGGCGCTAGGTAAAAAATGCGTCAAATGTTTCTACATAAGTACATTTAGTAGATTAAAGTTAGGTTGTTGACTTTGGCGCAGCGAGTGTTACGCATTGGGGCATGATATTTCAGCCATTCTTATACGTATTTCCGAGGAACGCTACTGTGAGTTTTAACTATGCACAGTAAGAGATTGTGGCCTGAATATAATACTGATTGTGAGACAACGTACGATGAGTCGAGAACACTATAATTTTAGCTTGTCAAAATTTTACTGTCAAATTTAACAGTAAAATTAAGATAATTAATAGATCAGTTAAGTCAAACCGTGAGTTTTGTTAAATATAAGTTAATAATACGAGTAGATATAAAAGAAATCAAATCAAATATCAGGAACACACAAAAAGGAACGGAAACCGTTTTATAAGTAAGATAACATTTTGGTTTTCAAAATTGAATCCCATCATAAGTTCACTACAATAAATGAGCTTCGTTCATGGGTGCTGCCTTAACAAAAACACACTTGGTTAAGTTTCGGGGTCGGTGCTGAAGCTTTTTAAACAGAACAAGTATGTCTCCACGACATTTATTACTACATATTTCATTACAATAATAAATTAAAACTGTTACATTAAATTAAATTAAGTATGTTAAAACATGAACACGATGGATTCACAGATATCTTTGTGCATTACGCTCAACAAATCTTGGTGCATCAAGTGTGGATAGTAATTTGAGGACAAGCTTGGTGCGCAACATGGCGAATAGCATGGTCCACAGCACGGCCTACAAATCATGTCCACCACAAAGTTGCTTGAAGTTTCTATTGCGTTACTTTTAAATATTTAATATTCAAGAGGACGACACTTTAAAGAAATGTTTATTTATTAAAATTAGTTTTGTTTCTCTATTTTTCTATTTTTTTTAACTTTTTAATGGATTTTCTTACGGGAGGTATTTTACAGAATGAATTACAATACTTACTTTCTTAATTACTTGATTCCATTACTACGATGAAGACTATAATGAACTAAAAACAGGCTTTTATAGGATGGTAAAAACTATTTTATATGATGGTGTATGTGCTTTTGTCTCTGTCCTTCCCCTAGTTTTGGTTTTATAGGGCGGCAAAGTTTAATGTGACCTTATTACCCTCACATACCTTATACCTCTTGAATACCGAGAATAACATGAAGAAACCTGTTTATTTATATCTAAATAGTCATTTAAATAATAGTCATTTTCGTCGCTCACTGACTCACTCATGAAGAACCTAGACCACTTCTAGGCGATTAGAAACTTAAAATTTAATTTCATGAAATCAGTATCAAGATATACTAATAATCATTTACAATAGAAAAAATATGATCTTCAAATTATTGAAGTGGTTACTAAGTTTATAATTTAATTATAAAACTATTATTGATATCCCATCAGAAACATAAAGTAAAAAGGGATCAAGTTCAATACAACTACGTTCAGAGTTGACAGCTTCGGCGATAAAAGATTTGATAGCTCAACGGCTGCCTAGTTTCATAGAACTTATTTAAGATAGAACACAACATTTTTAATTCAATATAGATTACAACAATACTTGTAGAAAGTCATTTAAGGCTAAAAAGTAAATCATTACAGCCCTTCACAAGTCCACTGCTGAACATAGGCCTTCTCCAAGTAATGCCACAAAGCACGGTCCTGAGCCACCTGCATCCATCGACTTCCTGCATGTCTTACCAGGTCGTCACTCCATCTAGTGAGGGGTCGCCCTACACTACGCCTAGCGGTACGAGGCTGCCACTCGAGAACCTTTCTTCGCCATCGGTTATCGGTTCTTCGAGCTATATGGCCGGCCCATTGCCACTTCAGCTTACTAATCCGTTGGGCTATGTCGGTCACTCTGGTTTTACTGCGGATATCCTCATTTCTGAGTCTATGAGAGAGAGCGTTTGGTTATACGCAGAATATATATATATATATATATATATATATATTATATATATATATATATATATATATATATATATATATATATAAAATATACTCATTTATTGCAAAATAAACCCATAACTCCCTATGTATTTACTGAGAGAAACGGAATTTAACTGGAATTGCTTTAATTACATTCGAATGAAACTGCTTTTATCCTTAATGGACTTTCCTATAATTGTAGATTTTGAGGAAACTTTGCGATATTTTTGTATCGAGCCAAATTATGTCAATAAAGATTTGGCCATCATAATTAATTCACTAAGGAAAATCTATAACTTTCATAATGGTTTAAAAAAAAGACGAATTCGTAGTTTTTAATGACAAAGAAATTGATTTTCTGTGCACTTATAAAGCGTGAAAAATCTGCGCCAATTTCATGTTAAGCTACTTTGCCACTAGTAAAGCAGCTTAAATGACTGTCACTCAAAACTCTGTCCTGGGAAAACCCCAGCAAGATACCCAGCAGGACGTTTTTTAAACATTAATACAATATTTTATCACTAAATATAAAAACATTTAAAACAGCATGTTAACTCATTTCCAGAGGATATTATTAATTATGTACTCTTTAATAGTATTGTTGCGCACCACAATTAGTGTCTGGTACATGGCGACACTAGTTCCCACTAGCGCCTTCTAGTATCGAGTAGCAGAACTAGGAGAGTCAAGATCCTTCTAGAAATTTTAATACTAGAACTTTCTAGAACTATCGACACCTAGTCAGTCGGGACCAGTATATACTCGAACTGTCTAGATGTTTCTACAGTAAAAGATTCTGGAACTATTTGAGGTCCTATATAAGGCCGGTATAGACCACGACTTATTTATCTATGGCCGGGTCAGTGTTGAATTTGAATACTTCGAAGCTATACAACTGCGAACTAAAGCGATCAATGGTGTTTTGTTATTAGTGTGGTTTTAAGTTGTAATTAGTGTTCTTTAAATTAAAGTGTCAATTTTGGTGATTCACTCGGCAGTTTTTATTGTTTCGAACCCCAAGCTCGTAGCATATAATAACCATTATTAAACAATTTTATGTAACAAAAATTTTAAAACTTTTGATAGATAATATGTCCTGCAT